CTCAGCAAAATCACAAACAGAAAGAGAGAGTTCTCTCTGCTACAACCCTCACGCCGCCGTATGTGGCAAACCAAAGCCCCGGCCACCGCGAACGGTGGCCACGGGGTTAAACGCCATAAAAGCCCCTCCTCTCTTTCTTTCTCCTCTACTTTCCTAAAAACCCAACATAGAAACAGAGCCCCTTTTCCCACAACCAAACTAAAACAACTAAATCTTTACCTTCGAAACAAAAGGGGTTTGGTCCAGTGAAGCTCACGACGGTGATAGCTCGGAAGGTAAGACCTTTCGGTCTTTTTCTCTTTCTCTTTGCCTGGTTTTAATTTTTTTTTTCCTTTTTTCTTTTTTCATGTCCTCTTTCACGGATTACTCTTCTTTTCTCTTTTATGTTTGCTTCCATGTGGATTTCTGGTGAGATGATGATGATATCTAGGAAAAATAGGGGATGGGTCTCACTAACTTTGCATGATTACATCCCGATTTTTCGGGATTTCTTGTGTACTTGCTTGATTTTATTTGATTTTTTCTTTGAATCACTGACTGATGGATTATTTTTCATCCACTGTTGATGATGAACTTGACTTGAGAGATGCCCGGTGGCTTGGGTTGGCTCGATAGCAACTCACGCGGCTCAGGAATGACCGGTGAAGATCAACGTGCGGCTGGGGATTGGAATCTGGCTTGAGCGGCGGCTGTGTAGTTAGGGGATTAGGGTTGAAACCCTAAATATCTCCTGATCTGGACCATTGATTTAGGTCCAGATCCAACGGCTGGTGAGAGGGACGGCTGAAGCAGAGAAGGAGAAACCCTAGAGTTAGGGTTAGTTGCTGGGCCATCCAAGTGGGCTTCTGGTCATTGTACTGGGCCTGGAAAATGTTGTAATTGGGCTCATGGGTAGGTTAGCTGATCGGGCCTCAATAATTGGCCTGCAAAAATTGTATTAATATGTTAATAAAAATAAGCATAATAATAATAATAATAATAATAATAATAATAATTAGATAGAAAAGACCCGGACAAAAACGGGTGTCTACACCTTCATAACATAATCATAATCAACCATGTTACTTTACCACTAATATTAGAACGTTTAAACAATTACGGATTTAAAGTTCTAAATGACAATTTATCAACTTGATAATTGAACAACAGATCCTTTGCACAATCAATCAAGATAATAATTCTTAATAAAAACAGAATATATATAAATAGCAAAGAAGTAAAAGAACAATGAAAATTATTTAGATCTTATAATCCTTGAAGAACCAAAGTTTCAATTATCCTCGAGTTGGAACAAAAATATTTAGCTACTCATAATTGAAAGAAAACCAAAAGAAAATAAAGAAAACTTAATGTAAAACTTGATGTAAAACTAATGGCCCTAGCTCCCCTTTTATAAGGATTTTCCTATTCTAGATAAAGAAGTTTCCCTTAAAGAAAATCCCACAAAAATAGGAGTTTTAAATGCCCTCATCTTTTTCTAAATATAAGAATAATTCAAAAGAGTCTTCCAACTGTCATTAAATTCTTTTTTCCTTGTAAATTCGTAACCCTAATTTAGGGTTGTACAGATAAGGCGTTCCCACGCCTTAACTGAAGACTTCTTCTGCGATAGTTCATGATGAATAAGTTATGCCCACGCCTTACGCGAAAACCTCTTCTAGTCTTGCTAGCTTCTTGAATTCCGATTTTTCCTCCTTAATTAGAGAATTTTGTGAAGACCATGTTAATCATAAGATTTTGAACTTGTTTTATCTAAATCTTCAACCTAATCCACAAAATACAAAATATAATCAAAATCCATAATTTAATCAATTTTAGTTATTCAAATATAAAGAAAATATCATATAATATATGTCTAATATGCATCTTATCACAACTCGTCATAAAAAAAATCAACAGGAAAGAGTCAAACTGATAGGGCTCGAACGGTAATTGATTCGTGTGGCAATGAAGGCCTCCAATCTGTGCATGGCATTTTTGCTACTGCAGGCATGTCCTTGAGCCATGAATCCAGGGGCTTACCAGTCGAGTACACTATGAAACCGATCTCCCTCAGCTGTTCCGCAATCACGATGTTCCTTCCGTCAAGAACAAATGCCGGCCTTTGCATGTTGCCGTATATCCTCTTGAAGTCGGGCTGCTTAAATTAATCCCACTCTGTCAGAACTCAGAATGCAAATTCCATGAGCATCCTTGGTTGCCTCATAAGCGTCCCAGACACAGCTGACTTGTTTAACAGTTGTGGGGCCCATGGGCTGCAAGTGAAGAGGATGGTCCCAGTCGAACTTCTTCATCGAAAGACCCCGTTGGACCTGGTCCTCGGTGACCTGTGGATCATATATGCTCAACCGAGCTTTGTCTCCCATAAGCCCTTTGCATACATCGATGGCGGGGGTCTCCCTAGTATCACCGGTGTCCTTCTTAAAGGCAAACCCTAGAATAGCAATCTTCTTGTTTGAAACAGTGTTAAACATCGAGGAAACAACACGGTTGACAAATCGATTTTTCTGGTAGTCATTGATTTGATGACCTGCTTCCGGTGCTCTGCCACCTCAGGCAGGCCATTGCACTCACAGATGTAAACCAGATTTAGAATATCCTTCTGGAAGCAGGATCCACCAAAACCGACACTAGCATTCAAAAATTTGGGTCCAATCCTCGTGTCCTTACCAACAGCATACGAGACTTGCGTAACATCAGCCCCGGTTGCCTCACAAAGCGCGGACATGGCATTTACCGATGAGATCCTCTGAGTCAAGAAAGCATTGCAGCAAGCTTGGAAAGCTCTGCGGACCAAAGACTGGTGCTAAGAATTCTCTCCTCAGGGACCCAATGAGCATAAACACCCTTCAATGCTTGGACAGCCTCATTGCCTTCTGGGGTTTCCCGGCCTCCGATAAGAACACGATCAGGGTTAAAAAGATCTTGAATTGCAGTTCCCTCAGCAAGAAATTCTGGGTTTGAAAGGATTTGGAACTTCATTCCCTTGCTGTTGTGGGTGAGGATCTTTTCAATTGCCTCGGCAGTTTTGACAGGGACCGTTGACTTGTCACCAACAATCTTGTCGGATATCGATACATCCGCAATCATAAGTGCAGCACTTTCCCAATATGTGAGGTCCGCAGCTTTGCCAGCTCCTAGCCCGCTAGTCTTGGTGGGGGTGTTGACTGAGACAAAGACTATATCAGCCTCTCGCACATGTTCCTCTACATCAGTGCTAAAGAAAAGGTTCTTGCCACGACATTGTTTCACAACATCGTCAAGACCAGGCTCATAGATAGGGAGCTGGTCACTGTTCCAGGCAGCAATCCTAGGTACAGAGATATCGACAACAGCCACTTCAATATCCGGACATTTAAGCGCGATCACAGCCATCGTAGGCCCACCAACATAACCAGCTCCAATGCAACAGACCTTCATTTTCTTGGTATACAACAACCTGAAAAGGAGAAGCAACTACTCAAATAACATAATAGAGGAAGCCATTCCTGAATCTACCCAAATCGAAAATCAAGAAGAAACAACAAGATCCATATGGCGAGTTGTAATCATCACATTTTCAAGTGCTTCTCTAAACATGAAAACTAACCCATGCTCTAATAATGCCTAAACTGACTATCTTAGACAATGTTACTCGGACGCATTGATGCACCGACAACTATCTCTGGTTACATTTTAAATTTAATTAACATATCAGTAAAACAAAGGATCCAGAAAATTCGGAGAGAAACTAATGAAATCAATACAATTCAATTCAGATCCATCGGACTTAATTTAAAGTCCATACAATTTCCAAATTAATAGAAAATTAGTGTGTATTTCCCCTTCATGAGTTGGCAATTAATCCATACAATTTTTGTCACCTTTTATATTATTAATATATTCATACAATTTTTGCTATGTATATCAAATCATGGCTTCTTATAAAAAAAATCAGGACTTTTTTTATTTTATTTTAAATATCATCTGACAAAAAATAGTTTTGAGACTAATATTTTTCATAGAATATTTTTCGTATTAACATTATTCTTCTATTAATCTATGATAAGTAAAAGATAATATTTATTCAAAGATAAGTTTCAATCATTTGACATTCAACGCTTACACCGCTGATATCATCTGACCCAAAAAAAAAGCCATATGTAATCTTCAAAACGAAGAATGAACTTTGCTTGGGGACTGGGGAAAAAGATTTGATTGCAATTGAAGACATTTTAAGTGTAATAATAACAATAGTAAATAAGAAAGAAAATGGGTCTGACGATGATGATGGATCATTATTTTGACAACATGGTAGAAAAATAGTGCTTTCATATAATAAAAAGGAGAAATGCAATTTGTACTACCATTTACATCATTATATACGTTAACCTAGGTATGGTATCAAAATTAGCTATTAATGTGTGTTGGAATAGTTATTTTATTTCTTATTTGGTTACTCTGTAAGATATTACAAAGTTTATGTTATCGTAGTTTATGAATCAGCCACAATTTATTTATCACACCTATGAACGAATCAGTAAATGTTATGGTTTATGTAACTGCAGGACCTCTGGTCCCTTCTGATCCATCTAGGAAGCTAGTTCTGGTTAATGTGATCGTAGCTTTAGATCCTGCTGGGAACCAACTAGACATGCAATCTGCAGTCATGCATGAGATACGACATGTTCTCGGCCCTGCTCATATTCTATAAGAGTGACATGTTCTGCCATTTTATTTATATATTCTATAAGTAGAAGCTTCCTCCTTCCACCATGTTATGTTATTAACTTAAAATTCCTCTGCTTTGAACAGCCCATTGTTTCCAATCACTCGGTCTTAAATCAATATTTAGAAAGCAAGATATGGTCCACATTGAAAATGACAGTTTGTGCAGAAAGTTAAATACAAAGAACTGTTTATATTTATTGATTAAAATGAATACACCATACCTCTAATGTACAAACTTATGAACATGCAAGAAAATGATGTTACTTGAGCCAGGAGTGCAAGGGGATTTGAATTATTTCCAGTTGAAAGTCATGTTGCTCGAACTCTTCATTTCTCTTGAAGCATTCATGTTCCATGCTCACGTCTAACACTTAAATATAGAATCTCCAATGATCTTGTGAATCCGAATAACATATGTTGAATGAATCCACCATGAAAAGCACAGTGAAGGCTGAACATATTATTATCACATCCCTACTTCATTTACTTCCCTGTGCCTGGTCTCGGATGCCAAGCTTTCCACCATTCATTTCCAATCAAGCATGTCTAATAGCCACAATACCTCTTCTCTAGAATTGGCAGCATCACAAAAGTCCAGCTCGATGCTGAAAACATCCATGACACCGTCGTTTCCATCTTCTGTGAAGAGCAAGGAGATCCATGCCCGGATTCCCGAAATAAAGGGATAATTGGGAGAGAAGACAAGGTAGTCGAAAGCTAGAGCCCTGGAAGCTGTACGATCTATGTAATCAAACAGCGATTTATTAATTATACAAGCAACTTTATTCGAGTCCTTCCGCCCCACAAGCACTGAAACACTCACAGTCTGGCTCCAAGGAACGGTGAAACTTGGGTCAACAGGTAAGATCATCTTGTACTCGGGACTCTCGAGATGAAACTTGAGCATGTCGCAAATTCCAGCCGGTAGGATCTTGATTCCTCCCGGGAGGACAGGACCAGGGACAACATCAGAGAAAATCAATTTATCTTCACTCCAAATGTCAATGTAGAACTCCAAGTCATCGAAGGAAAGTCTTGGAGGGAGAAGTGATCGCTGATGCTGTCGTTTATAGAATGATTGATACAGTTTATAATAGGTCACAGTAGGAGGATTGGGCCGTTTGCAAATCGAAGGCCATCTCTTTGCACATACACATTTCCAAAAGTAATCATCTTTAGCTATGCGTCTCCAATGCTTACAAACCACCATACAAGCTGCAAGGTCTACACCATCTAAAAAGGGAAAAACAACCTTCAAAACTTCTTCTAATGACATTTTCGGATAGCAAAATGACCATCAGACGCCGGATGATGATAGTTTGCTCCAGCAAATCGGAAAAGGTGTAAAAGAACTAAAAACTGAGTAGTTGAGGGCTTCCTGTGAAAGCAATAAAATTAAGTTTTAAATGTCAAAGCATCAATGGATCGATATTAAGCTCAAAACATGAATGTTGCACATACTTTTGTGCAGCAAGATGTCCGTATTATGGAGCCTGAAACATCAAATGATGCATTCAAAAGAAAAGATGATATATTGGGTATTGCAACCGTTTTCAAAACTAAAACATTCTTTCAGGAAACAAGGTCTGTCCTAAACAAATCAGTGAAAGGATAAGAAAGACAAATTCTCTTCCGGAACAGCGTATTGTACTTGAAAACAACCTGACCTGGTCAACAACCTCTCAATGCAAATGGAACTTGTACAATGTCAACTTCATAGACACCGAAGCATAAATCTATGGTCTTAGACCCGACTCAATTGCCTTCACCACTGGCCAGATACATCATGCACAAATGCACAGAGCAAAGCACACACATAAAGTGATTTTAAAGCATTCAATTTACCGAAACCAACACTTCAATGACATGATAAATCGCCAATCCAGGGTAGAGCACAATTACTCTAAACCAATTCGGGGTTGAGCACGATTATTCAACGCCATATAATTCCTTTCTAGCTCTACAATTCACAACAGTAAACCTCAAAAAATCAGGAAATTCAGAGCTTAAATTTTCCAGCAGAACCCAAGTTTACTTCAAACAACTAAAACAAAACCAAAATTCAAATTCCACCCATATTCATAAATATAACCCTAGAAATAGTAATTCGAGAGGCAAAAAAAACATAGTTTTTGACTAAATGTAAAACAGACCCAGAAACAAAAACAAACCCTACTATTACATGATATGTAAAAGATCCAAACTTTCTAATTCATCCGCGAAATTTTCACAAAAAAAGAACGAAAAATGGAGAAAAAAATAGAAATCAACAAACCACAGATCGAGAAAAAGAATGGCAACGAAGCTAGGAGGAGATTCGCAACAAATTAACTAGTAAGAGTTACATGTTACCTGATTTATTGGCGGAATTTGGAGAGATATTTCAGGAGATGTGATTTTTGGTCTCTAATTATTTATATTACTGTTAAGGCGTTGAAAACCCCCCCGAAGGTTAGAGAAAAAGAAGTAACAGAAAGACCAAACAAATAATTTAAGGGAGAGAGAGAGGCTGCAGGTTAGAAAAAGAGACAAAGCCCCCACCAAAAGAAATACTTTGCTTGTGGATTAGCATTAATCAAAGCGTAAACTGTTGGATTGGTCATTTAACTTCTATATTTTTACATTGTTGTTTATCAAATTAAAAATATTATATTTAAGTCACTTACACTATCAATTTATTAAATTTTAGACACTTATGTTATCGATTATTACATTTTGATCACTGATGCACCTCCTCATTTTAGTTTGATGATGTGACATCTTAATTAAAAAAAGATTAATTTTTAATTTTACTCCTAAAATTCAAATAAAAAATATTAATTTAATCGCAAACTTTAGACAAAATATTAATTAATCACAAGTTTCGTTTTCCCATTATTTGAGTTCAAAGTTAGATCTGTAATTATGTATGTACTCGATAATTGTTCAAATTCAATTAGCATAGTTTAACACAAAGTGCAATTTATCGTACAAAGTATTAACCAGAAATCAATAGGATAGCACTGGAAATGAATAATGACCTCAAATTGTTCCTATAAATCAGATGGCGAGCTCTCAGTTCAGCACGAGGATATGGGGAAACCGCATGTCGCCGAAAACTGCTTACTTCAGCTAGTTTCGGTTCCCGATGGGCTGGAAGATGGGGAAGCCAGGAAGCAGATAGGGAAGTCAACTGAAAGATTAGGCCAGGTTATGCCTGGACACCTGAAGAAGTTGATTCACAAGATTAATGCATCGGATGAAGACAAGATTTCGTGTGTTTTAGCTGATTTAAGCATCGGGTTTGTAATCGATGTTGCGGTGGAGATGGGGGTTCCGACAGCCGCATTTTGGCCGGCTTCGGTGTTCCAACTAGTGGTGCTTCTTAGTAACCCAAAGTATATTGACGATGGATTGATTGATGAAAATGGTATGACCATGTCTTTATTTTAACTGGTCTGTAGTACTGTTGGATACTGGTAATGGAGAAAATAAATATTGATGTGTTTTGCAGGCACTCCACTTGTGAAAGATAAAATGTTTCAGTTGTCGCCTATGATGCCTGTTATACACCCAGCCAACTTTCTATGGCTTAACATGGATACCTCTCCTTCAACACAGAAAATCATATTCCATACCTTATGGGGGAACAACTAAGCTGTTGAAACAGCAGATTGGATAGTTTGCAACTCAAGTTTGGAATTGGACCCTGAAGGGTTCAACTTGGTTCCCAAACCCGCTTCCAGCCTACGATCGGCTCGGAAACTTGTTGGGGAATTTCTGGCCCGAGGATCCAACTTGTTTGCAGTGGCTCGATCAGCAATCGCCTGCTTCAGTCATATATGTTGCATTCGGTAGCTTCACGGTTTTTGACGAAATCCAGTTCCAGGAGCTGGCTCTGGGGCTTGAACTCACCAACAGGCCATTTCTTTGGGTCGTCAGAGAAGATATCACAAAGGGTAAACACCGTGTTTACCCACAGGGGTTTATCGAACGAGTGGGAGATCGAGGTAGGATGGTGAGTTGGGCACCGCAAGGAGCAGTGTTGGAACATTCTTCGATCGCTTGCTTTTTAAGTCACTGCGGGTGGAATTCCACCATTGAAGGCGTAAGCAATGGGGTTCCCTTCTTGTGCTGGCCTTACTTTGGAGACCAGTTCCTGAACGAGAGCTACATCTGCGACATCTGGAAGATCGGACTGAAGTTCGAAAGCGACGAAAGAGGGGTCATCGGAAAAGAAGAGATTAAAAGCAAGGTGGAACAATTGGTCGGTGATGATGATTCCAGAACAAGAGCTGTTGAACTGAAGCAAAGGGTTACCAAAAGTGTCGGCGAAGATGGAAGTTCTGATCAGATGTTGAAAGATTTTGTTGAGTGGTTGAAATCATAGATAGCAACAACTACTTCAGAAATATTAAGAAATCGAAACTAGTGAAGGAAACAATCATGGTGGTTGACAATAAGCTTCCTTTTCTATGTGCTCACAATTGTGACTTCTTTGGTTCATTGAAACCAGCAATTTATATGTTCCAAGGGTTTCTAGGATTTCCTCAAAGAACTTGAAATTTTCACTTTCATCAGACACTCATGTTTTAAATTATTAATGAAATTTAATGTTACCGATTAATTGGTCAACAACTCAGTTAGAATTTATTTAATCACCCTTTCATTTACATATTATTTAAATCTTAATTTGAGTTTAATTTCAACTGTTAACTATGTGAATCATGTTCTTAAATGGTCATATATGTGAATCATGTTCTTAAATTTTGTATTATATTATGTTTTATATAATTAATTATTATGATTTCATTTAAAAAAGAATTAAATACTATATTGTGATTCATTTAAAGAAGAATTAAAAAATAAGGTTAGAAGGACTTGCCGTTGCCGACATTAATGTGATTATTGAATTGTACTCTGTACAATAACTAAGGGTTTCTCACGCTCTAAGTAGCGGTTTGCTGTCTCTTTTGCTTTGTCTTGTTTGAAGGTGTGGGTTGTTTCTCTGTTAGTTAACTATTGAAAGAAAGTATAGAAAACGTGTAAACTTGTATATTTCAGAAGCTTACAATTACACAGCAAAGGTAGCTATTTAAAGAACCAAAGGAGAGCTATTCTAACTACCACAGAGCTGTTGCAACAGCTTAACCAACTCGGGTACACGTGCCAAATATGAGAAAAATAACTGCCCAACACTGCTATACTCTAACAGTGCCTTGATGACGGATGCGTTGCTGGATGAACGGCAGCATCTTACGCTGTCTGAAGCGGGAGGCAGCGGTTATCGAACCTCTTGTGTCTTCAGCCGCAAGCCCCCTGACTCTTCTAAATGGCTTGTAATGCGATTGCTTACCCCTCGTCCTTACAACAGGGAGGCCCTCATTCAGACTCTTTCTAGTGCATGGTGGTTATCTCCTAATACGTCCATTGTTCCGTTGGATGATCGTCTATCGATCATAAAATTTAGCACTGAACGGGAACGGGAACGACAACGGATATTCCATGGTGGTTTACTGGCTTTTATGGGGCATTGATCACTACTCATCACCCACATTCCTGGTCCCTTCTTCGGCATTTAGCGAGCCAATTATCACTCCCTTGGCTTTGCGCGGGTGATTTTAATGAGATTATGTGGTCAACAGAAAAATAGGGTTCTTGTCTCCGTCGGGCTGGTCAGATGGCATCTTTCCGGGATTGTTTGGAGGATTGTGAATTACAGGATCTGGGGTATTTTGGTCGTTGGTACACATGGGAGTGTGGTAGGACGGTCCAAACCAATGTACGTGAGCGATTGGATCGGGCAGTTTGTACATCTACTTGGCGGAACATGTTCTCGGATACTCAGGTTTACCACCTTGATAATTCTACTTCGGATCATTGGCCTTTGTTGATTAATACGGATTGTTGGCGCATGCCTGGATCTGGCAACCGTGGTCCGAAGTTGTTCCGATATGAGGCTAACAATGCTACTGATCCGAATTTTGTCCAGCTAGTACAATCGGGCTGGTCTTCTACGAATCTCCCTGTACCTCAGCGTTTATCAACTTTGGGTGTTTCTCTTGGACAATGGCAACACAATCGTATTGTTGATCAACGTAGGCAATCACAGACTCTTTCCCACCGACTACAGATTCTGCGGTCTCAGCCAGCTTCTAATGATTCTTTATCTGCAATTTCTCAGTTGCAATCTGAACTCAACCAATTACTGACGAGTGAGGAAATTTATTGGTGTCAACGGAGGCATGTCAATTGGCTTCGGCTGGGGGATCGGAATACCTTACTTTCATGCGTCAGCTTCCATTCGACGTCGCCAGTACACTATAGCCTACATTACGGATTCATTAGGTGTTGATAATTATGATGACGCCCATATCCTTTGGTGCTTTACTGATTATTTTCAGGATCTTTTCTCTAGGACTCCTTTGTCGCCGTGTGATGCAATTCTCCAGGGTATCTCCCCTTGCATTTCTGCTGATCATAATAATGCTCTTATCCGGCCCTTCACAGCCGATGAAATAAAAGTTGCTGTGTTTCAGATGCCCCTGCTCAAGGCCCCAGGTCCAGACGGGTTTCATGCGTCTTTCTATCAATCTTTTTTGGGGGAGGTGGGTACTGATATCACCAATTACTGTCATGAAATCTTAAATGGTGAA